CTACTATCTGCCTGACAACCACAACAGGTGCGCATGCTGGTTTTTTGGTCCCAGACGACGCCGTCAGACAAGAACAGCCATGCCCATCGCATTCCGACCCGCCACGCCACCCAGTCCAAAGTGCTGGACCATCGTCGCCGACCGGGGACCCCTGGAGACATCAACCACGGTAACAGCTGCCTCAGTCGTACCATTCCCGGGCGAGAGGGCATAGATGAAGTTCCCTGCTGCGCGCAGGTCAATTAGCCCCGGATCGCCGTTGGCCGAAAGGTCCAGTTGCGACAGCACGCTGGCGTCGCCGAGACTCATCTCGACAAGCCGGTTCACGGCGACGTCGGTCACAAACGCTGTGCCCGTCGCGGGGGAGATGGTCACCCAGCACGTGGCCGCCTGCCCGTCCACCTTGCCCGTCGCCACCGTATGCGCCGCGCCGCGGCTGTCTACCGACAGGATGGCCGCGCCGAACGAGGCGTCTGTGACGAAAACGCTGGACGTGCCAGGAATGGCCTGCGACCCGAACAGCACTGCTGTCCCCGCGGGCATGCTTCGTGTCTCGACGCGGGAGACGGCCGACTGCGTTCGGTTATGGTTTTGGTTCCGCTGCCACCGGCCTGCGACGGTCGATTCGACGGGGAAGGCGGAGAAGAAGCCTGTTTTGTTGGTCGCTGGGTCGCCCTTGACGGTGGCAAACAACATAGATTCGTCGGCGGAAAAGAAGGTCTGTGAAACGGTGTTGGTTGGACCAACGGGCGGGGTTGTTTGGTTGAGGTCGAATGGGCGCAGGGCGTCCATGTGTCCCAGCAGCCCGCGCCCGGGAGAGAAGCGGCCGCACGAGATGCCTGCGCGGGTTCCTGAAGTGCCAACGCACACGACGCCGTGCTTGACCGAGGCGACGACGGTGTTGGGGAAGTCGCCAGGGATCAATACCGGAGCGCCTACCGGGGTCAGGCGGGTTGGGTCAGAAGGGGAGATGGCGAGTATGCTGAGGGAATTGGAGCCGGCGTTCACGGCGAAGATGCTCTGGAGGTGGAAAGGGTCAATTATTAGGGCATGGGGCACCGAAGCATGGCTGTGTCGAGTCGGACTCACGCTTCCGGCAACGGTGAGTGCTGACTGGCTCACCAAGGCATCAGGAGTGGCCGGCTGCTTATCGCTGTTTAGCGCCACGGAGCCGCACCCCCCGGTCGGGGTCACGGTGCCAGGAGAGAGCTTGCCGTTGGCGTCAATCGGCAGTGCCACGACCGCGTTGGCTTCATCGTTGGTGAGCAAGTAGAGGGCTTTCACTGTGTTAGCTGCCGGGGTCCCGTCACCCTCCGGAGGTTTCGAACAGTAGCCGCTGGCTAACCCCGGAGCCAATAACAGCAATTTGATCAGGAGGAAACTGGGACGGATGTTTGACATGTTGTCCAGGGACAGCCCAGTAAGGGTAAGTGACGTTGACACTTTCAAGAGAATGATGCTGAGCAGATAGAGAGAGAGCTGCTTGGTGGGTAGTATAGGTTGATATAAAGCTCGCAGGACGTGATGGCTGCAGTGATGGGAGCAATACACTACACTAGGACGCGACGCAATGCCTTTATATCTTGATTGGAAGGCGTCTGGAAGTTTGTCAACCTGAACAGCATCCTGACCTTTGTACGAATTGAGTTGCCCCTGTGCCAGGCGGGCTGCAAGGCGATGGGGACTCGGGAGATCATGATGCACTGCTGGTTACGCCATTGTTTCAACAACGAGGTCCATAGTAATTGATTCCATCCTGTTGACGCTTCGGCGATGACAGGTCCGTCACTCGATCCGGTCAAAGATGACACTTTGTGGGATAAATCGGGTTCATCCCGAGATTCAGACTCAAGTAGCTCAACTAATCAGTATTTCCTTATTTGGCCTACATCAGTATGTAGTTTCAGGGGGTTGCGAGCACCTGTCACGTTAGTAGCCAAGGGGGGAGTTCGACTTGGTACACAAGCGCGAGGCCTGTTTGATGGCAAGCCGAAAAGGGCAATCCAGATTACATGAACAGGATTCCAAACACGCTGTACCCCAGCTCGTTGTGTAGCATTCATGACCCCAGCCCGTACCTCAACCCGCTCGCACAAGACAGCAGGATCTTAACTCAGATAGCTCCAGGGTGTACTGGTAGAATGAACGAGGGTAACTACATTCATGGTTCGGCTCACGTTGTCATGTTACTTCATACTTCAATCTCTTTATCCAGAACTAGAACATGTATCAAACTTTCCTATCTTGGGGTTCGCCATGAAAACACCAGTACCTGCCCGGGCCGCCTTCCTCCCTCATCAACCCCGGGTATACATGGCTCACGGTACTCTTCAAAACCGAGGTTAGCATTTGTAACCCACGGTAACTGTGCTAGCAGCTCGGTTAGTATACCTAATGTGCCGCCCCGGATAAAGCATGGCGCACATAGGTACCTGACTTGGAAGGACGGGATGCAATGGGCAAATTTACTGAGGAGCACGAACAATACAGTACAGTACCTACAGCGTCGCATGCTGGGAATGGACAGTGGTACTCTAGGTGTGCAGTGAGAGCACCTTAGCCTTCAAATGCTAATTAGTACCTTATCCAGGTAGCTAAGATGCCTTGAGGGTGCTAATGGCTATAGTATTACAGTAACCGTGGCATCCGTAAGGGGAAAGCAAGGTGCATATCATAGCAACCTGTAAATGTACCTTAGGTATTCTTGACTGCCAACTCAGGCCATGTGAGACCTATTCAGAGTCCAAACTCAAGGTGTGCAAACTTAGTGTCCTATTCCTCCGGCTCGCAATGAGCGGGCAATAATGGATAGGTAGGTACTCATATCCCCGTTTATGAAAAGTACTAGACGCGACTGCTACCTCTATCCCTGCTAGTGTCTGGACCGACGGATCCAGTCCACTCCGGGCTGAGCTACCTTCGTTAGTGTACGAGTCTCTCTACGAAGTAATTCAGTCTGTTATGTCAGTGTGTAGCCAATTAAGGTACCTTGGAGTCCGAGACTGTATCCTACCTATCATGTTTGAGTACTGGCTATAACTGTATACCCTTGTAGCTACATTTTCAAGTTTCTTTTACGCTGATACGACTCTGGTCGAGGACTTGTATTGGAATGACTTGAGGTTACTCTCAGGCTGTATGTGCGTGCCAACAATTTGATGGCAACCGACTTCTACTAATCCTTACCCGAGTCAATTACCAGGCCATTCGCAATTCAGGTACAATACATAAATGTCTCTCCGGAGCAAGTTACGAGTATAACCCGGATCTCGACAAGATCTTCGCTAGTTTGCAGAATCGGCGCATTACAGCGGCCCATCTCCACAAGTTCCGCTCCCGATTGGCCTTGGTAGTTCTAACCGGCAGGTCCAGCTCATGCAAGGACGCTAAGCGACGACCCGCCGCCGACGGCAGCCATTCGGAGACGGCGCGGTCAGCCATCGACCTGGCATGAGCGGGCCATGAGTCGACGACGCCGGACAAAGTGAGACTCAAGCCTTGCCCAGAAGGGATAGGAACGCCGATCACTCATGTAACTAGACTCGGGCTGAGTATCTCACAGATGATGGACAATATATGCCTCCTACAGAGTATATATAACTCACAATCGTTTGTTGACATGATACAAAGTCTCTCCATTGCTTCCAGTTTGGAGTCTGTACGTGTTTATTTACATCTGCTCACCCCTTAATCCTTAGTGTAATTGAAATCAACACCGACCGCCCACCATGAAGTTAGCAGCCCTCGTCACCATCCTCATCACGCCGCTGCCCGCCCTGTCCCTCGCCATCTCTCCACGCTCTTCCACTACCTCGACCCAATGCGGTCGCCGTAACACTGCCCGCTACTGCGCCGGAACAGCGTACAACACCTCGCTCCTACACACCTACCTCTGTGGTGACTCGCGACTGGGGCCCACCACATTCCCAGACGCCGAGTCCAACCCGCTATCTGTGATCCTCAGCCCTCTGTTCTATGACCGGCTGGGCGGGCTCTGTCCCGGCGACTTCATAAACGCCTGGTTCAACACGTCGACAAAGTGGTGGAACTATCCCGCAAACAATGGATTCACCGTCATCCAGGATGGAGATGGGTATGGTGAGGATGGCGCGCCCATCTTGGGCAATGTCACGCTGCCCGTGGACACGCTGCTCGACAGATTCGGATCTGAAGGCGGCACTTTTGTGAGCCCTGCAGGCGCCCCATACTCTCAGCGGGCTCTGCCGCCGAGTAATCTTGTCGCTGCGAACAGCGAGGAGCTGTGAGTCTTTTCATCCCCCCCATCCTCCTCCTTTACCGCCGATACGGGAGACTCATGATGCCAATGCTATGCAGCTCGACGTACAATTACAAAGTCTACAGCGTCGTCAAGCCGCTGGTGGTGCTGGCGGGTCCAATTGCCCCCTGGTTCGGACAACCTGGAGCCGGGGTGCAGTACATGCTGCCACGAAATATTTCGGCCCTTATTGCTGAGGGCGTTCTCAGGCGAGAGGACCCCTCGGTGCTGGTTCCTTGAGTCTGCTTGTCGGATTGTGTGCATTAAGCGGATGGCTGGAGTTGATGTGGATGTTTTTGACGTGAATTTTCGCGCATGAAACCTGAAACCTTCAAGGCGCACAAATTTATTAGCATCACACTGGTGGCTAGCGTTACCGCTAATACTCAGCCGATTTGGAAATACGACCCTACTCCATACAGGCCCGGCTGACCTTATAATTGGCCACATCGCGATCCTCCCGATCAC